CCACTTCTAGTGCATAGTCCCCCAGAATCTCTGATGAGAGCCTCACATATTCAACATGATCTGCACTTTGGCTAGGGGAACTTAAATGAATCCTGGCCTTGTTTGAATTCTGGGAATTATGTCACAACGCCCTGATAACTGCTATCTCCTTGGAGGTCGTTCCTGCCCTGCCCACTAGGGTTTCACCTAACATGTACAGATTGGTCTTTTACCAAGTCTTAAGAGAACACCTATGCATATTTCTGGAACTCCGCCCTTTCAATTCTAGCCCCTTTGGCTCCCCAACTCCAAATTCATTCTCCTTTCCTCACCAAAGGCTCTGCTTGAATTTCCCCCTCCCTGTGCTACAGTCCAGAAATTGTCTCCAACACACTCAAGAGGAATGAAATGCACATTTCTGGGCTCCAGCCTGCATAGTTCCCTCCTACAGATTCCAGCTACCTTGTCCTCCCCAAGCTCATCCCCCTCAGCTCAGCAAGACTTCCTGCAACACAGTCTACAAAATGCCTAAGTCAGAAAGGCAGGAAGTCATAAGGCTACGTCACTTGCTTCCCTTCTCTCAGGATCCCAGTCCTGCACTGCCTGTTGTCCAAAGTCTGTAAATCATTGTTTCATAGACAGGGTGCGGAAACAGTAGGTTAACAGTTGTTTGTATGGAAAATAATAATTAATAAATGATAATACAAGAATAAACTCTGTGGTTCCCATACTCACAACTGTTAAACCTACTTTGGTCCCACCATGTATTTTCTCCAATTTTCTAGTTGTTTATAACAAGAGGGTAAGTCTATTGCCGATTATTCTGTCACGGCCAGAAGCAGAAATCTGGTTTAACAATTTTCAACTATAAATTTGTTTGCACGGTCCTATGTTCAGTCTGTCTCCTCCACTACAATGTAAGCCCTGTGAGGGTAGCACCTATGTCTGTATTGCACACTACCAAATCCCAGTGCCTAAAACCAGGCTGCAACACAGTAAGAACTCTGAAGAAAAATATGTTATTGCAATCCTGGGGCCAGATGTTGGCAGGAATCAGTGGACGGTGACAAAATGAGGGGGTGGCAGGTGGGAGCCAGGCTTGCGTGTGGATTTCATTTCCAGTCTGGACTGTCCCTGTGACACATGCTTTCCACTTGGACCTGGACATGTTCACAAAAAGACTGGCAGTAAATGCTTCAAAATGCTGGTATTGTGTTAAAGCAGTAGACTGTCTTCCACACTTTCTGCAATACAGTTAGAAATTTTAAAATAATTTTCAAAGATCTTCACATATATTTCTGCATATGAGTTTACTGCCTGACAGATTCTTAGATGAGATAAACTTTGGATTTCTGTGGTAAAGGGATCCGCCAACTGACATCAACTCCCCTGCAGAGTGCCCTGCCCCACCTCAAACAGTCGGTGTGATTTCTGTCTAAGAAACAGGACATCAGGTGTCGCTAATTCCCATCCTCACTCTCTTCCCAACCTGCTGGTACAAAATGCCTGGATTGATCCAGTAGGCTTCATCAATGTTGGTTAGTGTACAACCATGGAATCACACAAAGTACAGCAAGAGACAAAAGATCTAACCAACATTGGCCAACAGTCACCTCCACCCTAAGACACCGGAGGCACGAACAAGCCTCTCCTCTGATGTGAGAGATGTCACAGACCTGGATTACGAGAAATACCAAATGTCTTTGCCAGCAGGTGCCTACTGGCACGTCATCATTATCGATCCATTCAGACCTGTTATGTCTCCTTCCTGTTACCGAGTTTCACCTCTGCAACCTCCAAGGACAAGCATTCTATTCTTAAGTATGTCTTATTTTGTGTGTGTGTTTTAAATGTATGCAAATGGTATTGTTTTGTGTTCCATTTTGTTTGTTGCTTTAAAAAAATTTTTTTCTTTATTGATGTTAGAGAGAAAGGGAGAGGGAGAGATAGAAACATCGATGAGCTAGAACATCAATTGGCCGCCTCCTGCATGCTCCCCGACTGGGGATTGGGCCCACAACCTGGGCATGTGCCTGATCGGGAACGGAACTGGCTACCTTTTTTTTTTGTTTGTTTGTTTGTTTGTTTTTATCCTCACCCGAGGACATTTTTCGATATTTTGTTCAGATAGAGTGAGAGGGAGAGAGAGAGAGAGAGAAACATCGACGTGAAAGCGACACATCGAGTGGTTGCCACCCACACGACCCAACCAGGGCCGGGGACAAACTGCAACCAAGGTACGTGCCCTTAGCGGAACCGAACCTGGGTCTCTCTGGACCGCAGTGAACTGGCTACCTTTTGGTGCATGGGTCCACGCTCAAGCAGTGAGCCGCACCAGCCCGGCTTGTTTGTTGCTTTTATTCACTAATATATTTGTTCGGATCCATCCATGTTGCCATGGGTACTTCTAATTTGTTGCTTCTAGGTGCCACCTACTAACCCATGGTGTGGGCAACCCCTTTTATCTCACCACCTTCCAAATGGTAGACACCCAGCTTGCCTGCAGCTCTCACAAACAGCACTGCAATGAACGGCCCTGCACGCTCCCTTCAGTGCCTGTGGAAGGGTTCCTTTAAGACAGGGGATTGTGGGATTGCAGAACACGTGGCAAAACATCACCTTACTCTTGACACAGCATCTGTACAGTTGCTCTATCCCATGGCTTCTCCACCTCGGCAGCATCCTTGGCTCCACTCAATCGATGCCAACAGCATGCTCTCTTCTCCCTCAGGGATGACAAGGATGTCTTCCAACACTACTGAATGTCCCAGGGGGGCGGAGTGTCCCCCTAGTTGGGAATCACTGCCTTATCCCATTTCTGGCGTTATCCAACTCTATAATTTTTTTCTCTGATAACCAATTACCTGAAGCATCTTTTCACATGCTTTACGGTTTTTAAGAATTTTCTTTAATGTTAATTCTCTGGTGAGGTTGTGGGCCTCCAGCTGTTGTGCAGGAGTGGCCTATATGTTCTGGAGGCCTGTCCCTTGTTGCAATTGACATAGCACATGTCCTTTCTCAACCTTTCAGCGAATTGGCTCTATCCATGGTGCTTTCACTGAGGAAAATCCTAAAGTTCATGTATGGGACACAATATGTCACTTTACGGTCTGTACTTTTGAACTTTTATTAAAGAAGTCCTCTTGGCCCTCAGTGACAAGGCATGTCCTTCTGTTGGCGTCACTTTCACCTTCTTAATTTGGCCTTGACCCTATATGGAGCCCACCTTGTGGGTGGTGTTGGGCTGAAATCCACATTCGTCTATGTAGTGAATCTGTGTCTGTGGATTGTAAACGAAGTTCCCACGTATCCCCGTCCAGTGTCATTGCTCTCGTCGTCCACCCTCGCACCAACACTCACAAACTGTGTCTAGGGCTTTGTCATGTGTTTTCACAGCTGACCGAGAGCAAGCCCCTGTCCTCCAGGGAACTATTCTCCACCTGCAATTTAACGTAGGTTTGTCCAACTTCTCAAAATACCCAACTCCAAGCGTGTGGAGGTTGTGCTAACTTTATGAAATGATTTTGGGGAACTTGACATTTTTATTATATTAAGTTATCCCAGACCCAGGATTAGCTCATCTTCTTCTATGCCTTCTATTTCATTCTTAAAGTTTTCTTTAAGGAAGTCTTTGTATACTTGTCAAAGCAGATTCCTGGACACTATATTTTTGGTTGACATTAGGAGTTGGTACCTTTTTACTTAAGTTTCCAGTTGAAATTGCTGGTCTTGATTTTTAAGTTGATCTTATCTCCAGAACTGCTCACTTGTTTTCTGCCTGAGTTTGGGTGGGGTTCGGAATCACTGATTCTCTTGTAGGGGCCCCCCTCTTGGTATCAGTGCACCCGGAAGACTGGTAAGTTCATCAGAAGATTATATATGAGCATGGAAACCAGACCCCAAAAAACTGGTGGAAAAGCCTCACGAACAACCCCCCCCCCCCCAGCACATTCTCACCCCAATTCACATGTTCCCTCCTGGATGCAAAGTGCTGAACACACCCAGGCATGTTTGTCTTTATGTTAATGGCTCCCTCTTGCAAAGAAACACTTTTTTAAAAAGATGTGAGTATCACACGCTGAGCTACCATAAAGGTTGCCTACAGTCTAGGGAGCTATTCTGCCTCCGCTCACCAGGCGCAGGTGGAATAATCCACTGGTTGCTGGCCCACGAGCTTCTGCGCAGTCCCTGTCCGGCAGTGTGGCAGCAAGTACCATCACTTGCTCACCCAGAAATCTTTGCTCCCAAGGCCGAAAGGCCCCACTGTGCGCACTGAGTCGGGAGAAATCTGCCCACCCGAATCACCATTTTCCTGACGTCTACCAGGTTTTTGTTTTGATCCTCACCTGAGAACATGTTTTTATTGTTAGAGAAAGAGGAAGAGAGAGAGAGAGAAACATTGACGTGCAAAACACTGACTGGTGGCCTCCCATCCATGCCCCAACCAGAGATCAAACCAGCAACACAGGTTTGCGATCAAACCAGCAACACCTGGAATCAAACTTGGTGTACGGGCAACACTCCAACCAACTGAGCCGTCCTGCCCAGGGCCTGCCGGGTATCAATTTAAAAAGTATATTCGATGTGGAAAGTTGACATCTAGAAATTTTCCTCAATCAAGAGACAGCAACTTAGCACCTGCACATGGTCCAAGCGGATTGGCTGGCCAGGCCTAATTCTGTATTTCTTCCAGGAAGGTCAGATCAAGCTGATTCAGTGAGCGCTTTCAGGGTGACAGCGCCTCCTAGTCAGTCACTCCGTGTGGTAAGCGTGTCACCCAAGGGCTTACCAGAGCCCTCCAGGACACAGCCCACCCCTGCCGGGGCCTGAGCACCTGGACACCGCCTCCCACCAACCTGCAGGGCACCGGGTCAGAACTGCGCAAAGGGGCCTTCTGGGTCTCGGTGGTTTAACTGGTGAGCCCGTTTCTTCTGGGTTCAACAGAGATCATCCTAACAAGCACCCTGGCGCCCCCAGCAGAGGCCCAGACAGACAGGTCTAGAATAGTTTAAATGGCTTTATTAAAGGCTATTAATATAAAATACAACCGAGTTACAAGTAGTCAGTAAGAATTTTCGTTTTGCAAACGTGTAGCAAAGAAAGAGGCGCAGAGAAAGGGAGGCCGCTCAGCCACTCGCTCGGGGCCGCGACCCCGCTGTGCCGAGTGGGCAGCGCGCCCAGACCGAGGCTGGGGGCAGTCACCCGGGTGAAAGAGCTCGGGCTTGGGCTGGCTTCCGACTTCTTGGGAGAGATTTTTGCAAAATACAGTCACGCGAAGTAAGACGCTGAATCCTGAGCTGCATCCTGGGTGCAGGGGGTGGTGGGAATCCAAAAACATACAGGCTTCCGCTGAAAGGTGTGTATTTTTAAAATAATAAATAGGATCTCCTGGTTTTAGACTCCATCCTGATACACGGGTGGGGGTGAGGGGGACATTAGAGCTTCATTCCCCTAATTTGGACACACTGAACCTACATTCCCAGGACGGGAAAGGAGCCGCCTTTGTACAGGCTGCCGTGGTTACGAGGAGGAGCCGGAGGTCAGGCAGGATGCGGACCACGAGCCAGCACCCTCCAGGCCCTCACTTCTCCCTCTCCCTCCTTTCCTTCCGGAAGCAGAGCTAAGCCACTCAACGCAGCACTCTCCAGGATTTCCCGGCAGAACTGGAAGGAGCTACTGGGCTTTATGAGAAAGTGGGAGAGAAATGAGAATCGTCTCCCAGGAGAACGGACAGATCACCTTGGGCTAACTGTCCCAGGACATGGATCTTTCTTCCCTGCTACCAACGCCAAGGAATACCAATGCACCTCTTGTTTTTACGGGACCTGCTTTCAGGCCTGGGTTCTAAGACAGCTCACGGCCCTCACTGAGGCAGGTGCGAGCCAGGTGCGAGCCAGGTGCGAGCCAGGTGCGAGGCTCTGCAGCTGGCCCGAGGGGCTGGCCCCCTGCTGTGCTGTCCGGATGGGATTTCCGGGCTCCTTTCCCTCACCCCCACGGAACCTTTTCCCCTCGTGCGGTTCAACTATACTTAAACGGCATAGAAAAAATCGCATTTGCCACAATACAGACACCAAAGGAGGAAGGTCAAATCCAGTACCCAAGGAACCACATGAGGTTTAAGGACATTAAGCAATTGGCAGCAAGTGAACCAAACATTGGCTAAGCCACAGCTTTGGCAGGAAAACATTGCCATGTGCTTCACCTTGGAGTCAGATAAAATATCCTGGAAATCATTTCAGATTTGTCCTATGAAACAAAGAGGCATTGTTAGAAACACACACTTTGATATTCAGACCAGGCGCTTGCTGGCAGGACTCGCCGGGATTAAGGCGTCAGGTGAGGAGAACACAGTGAGAGGTGCCATGTAGATCCCGCTCGGGCACATCCTGCAGGTTCACGCAGCTCAGGGGCCATGGTCAGAGCACAGACCTCCCAGGGAGAGGCCCACACTCCTCCCACCCCGTTGGGGGCATGCCCACCTGCTCCCCCAGGGAGCTGGGAGCCACCCCCACCAGAGCACGGTGGGCACCGAGGTCCCACTCCAGGAGATACCGTTGCTATGACCACAAAGGTCTGCAGGGAGCGCTGCTGGGTCTGTGCAGAAACTGGAGTCTTCCACTTCTGCTGGTGGTCAGGGTTGGGGGAGGGTCCATGGTGACGGTTGGACCAGTCCTTGGGACTAGAAGTTGTAACATGGCTAATCAGAAGAGCCCTGTCCTCTAGTGACACCTCTATCAGCCCTTCCTCCTGCAGATGCCCAGGACAGGGAAGGAACACCCACAGGCCACAAAAGTAACAAAGAACTTCCAAAAGGAATAGGGTACAAACCCGAGAAAAGTGGTAGCCCTACAACCGCTAAATCTAGATACAAAATAATAAAAAGTTAATACAAAACTTTTAAACATGCAACTCTTAAACAATGATGAATAAGTATCACGGCAGCTTAAAGAGGCCTCTGCCGTGTGTCCAGTCTGTTTCCTGGAAATGACCAAGGGTGGAGGGTGGCACACAAGTCGAGAAGTGTGGCTTCAGTGAAGGAGGCCCTGGACTCTGGGAACCAGGGTGGTGGGGGGACATGTGGGGAGCAAATCTGTCCATGATCACAGCCAGCCTGCTGATGTCACTGCTGCTGAGGACATCGCCCATCAAAGGTAACCCCAACACACTCTCAGGGAGGGGATACAGGAGGAGATGGAAATCACTTCCATCATTTTTGTGACATGGTGGAAAAACCCTTTCTCCGAGGAGGGGGAATTGGTGCAGCTGGAACAGAAGTTTCAGTTATAAGATTTACTGAATTCCTAAGTGTTTAAAAATCCCAAATGTAAAACTCCTGTTATCAAATCATTGAAAATAGCAGGTATATCTGGTCTTACCAAAAACGGGAAAATCTGGACAAGGTAATAATATTTACCAGTTTCCAAAAGATTTAAAAAACTGTGTACAGAAACCAGGACACGACACAGGGAGATGCTGCCCCTCCATCCTCCACATTTTGGAAAACTTTCGGGGCTCTTGGTTCTGTGGGTTTTCTGTCTAACACGTTTTACCAGTTGTCCAGAAAATCAAACCCCGTCTTTAAGATGACATTGCTTGAGCTGACCTGCAGGAGAGACAAAAAACACCACTGTGAGGCATGAGTTTTCTTTAGTTTTGCATAATCTAAAATCAGTATCTCATTTAAAATGACCCAAATGAACCAGCCTGTTTCTGTCCCAGAGGCTCTCTGACCTCAATTTGCCTCAGTGCCCGGAACTAGAAAATTAACTAAAATTTAGCAAGCGACACTCCACTCTGTCAGCATCCAACACGCCCTGCCCTGGCCCTGGACATGTCTGAAAGTAGGTTCTAGACCTATCTATGCAGGAAATAAAAAACATCTATCTTTTCTCTTTCTGAAAGACAGGATATTTAAATGTAGCCATCATGGCCTGGCTGGTATGGCTCAGTAGTGAGCGTCGTCCCATGAACTGAGAGGTCCTGGCTCGATTCCCAGTCAGGGCACATGCCCGGGTTGTGGGCTCGATCCCCGGGACGGGACATGTAGGCGGCAGCCAATCAATGTTTCTCTCTCACATCAATGTTTCTATCTCTCTCTCTCTTCCTCTCTCTATAAAAAAAATCAATAAAAACATATTAAAATAAGTAAATAAATAAATGTAGTCATCATGGAATAAGAGAACATAGTACAAATACAGTCTTTCTAATGTAACACACACACACACACGCACACACACCCCTTGCAAAGTTGAGGGAATGAAATGTATGGGGAAAGGAGGTGCAGCTTCTTTCAGGTCACGTGAAAGGTTCTGGAGTCTTCTTCCCTGGCGCGGGGATCCTCCGGGTCCAGGGCCTCCGGCGGCTCACGCTGCGCAGTGTTCACACAACCCCAACGGCTCCCGCCGGCTCTCGTGACCACGCTGCCCCTGGCTCCCGTCCAGCACAAGCAGATGTCCCCTGGTGGCCTGCAGCCTTCGCAGGGAGGACGCTCTGACGGCCCCCCCCACCCGCTGGCCAGCAGAGTGCGTCCGAGGTGGCCACGGGCTGGCGGCTTCCCTGGAAGCTCGTCTCGGGCCCAGCGAGGCTGCATCCGAGTCTGACGCCGGGAGAGCCAGGATGGAAAAGCCAGGATGGAAAAGCCGAGGCGTCCAGGCAAGTTTTCCTCCTGCTGGTTGCCCAGCGGCTGGTTCAATGTGGGAGCATTTCGCTCTGGGCTTTGTGCTCTGAAAGCTGTTCCTTCCGACTCTGTGTGCTCCCTGTGCTCCCCGTGTGCTCTCCATGTGCTCTCCGTGTGCTCTTCATGTGCTCTCCGTGTGCTGTGTGCTCCCCGTGTGCTCTCCATGTGCTCTCCGTGTGCTCTTCATGTGCTCTCCGTGTGCTCCCTGTGTGCTATCCATGTGCTCCCCATGTGCTCTCCGTGTGCTCTTCATGTGCTCTCCGTGTGCTCCCTGTGTGTTCCCCATGTGCTCTCCATGTGCTGTGTGCTCCCCGTGTGCTCTCCGTGTGCTCCCTGTGTGCTGTGTGCTCCCCGTGTGCTCTCCGTGTACTCTCCATGTGCTCCCTGTGTGTTCCCCGTGTGCTCTCCGTGTGCTCCGAGTGTACTCTCCTGCCTCTGCACTCCCCGGACACTCCTGCGTCTTTACAGCTGAGACTCACAATTTATGTAAGTGCTTCCTTAGGAGGACACCCAAGTGCAGAGGATCAGAGAAAGCTGGTCAGTCGGGGGACGCACCTGGCTGAGAAGGAGCCCAGGCCAGGAAGACTAGAGACCAAAGAGAAGAGATGGGCAGGGGCCAGAGGCAGGAAAGGGAGGGGCCCAGAGCCCTGGCTTAAGACGGTGGGTAAACCTGGAGGAGGAGGGGCTGGAGAGCGTGTGCAGCTGACAGAGGTAGACGGAGCCTCGTCACAGGCCCTTCTTCAGGAGGACAACGGACAGGTCATCTGCTGAGAGAGGCGTGGAAGCACCGGGGCCCCATTCAGGAGACACCCCGAGAAGGACCAGAGCCTGACAACAACACACGCACCGATGAAAACTGGGCAGGGGGTTGAATAGGCAGTTCTTCAAAGATGTGCAGCCTGGCCAGTGGCCCACTGGTTGGAACGTCGGCCTTAATTTCCGGTCAAGGGTACGTACCTGGGCTGCAGGTTTGATCCCTGGCACTAGGTGCATGCAGGAGGCAACCAATCAATGTGTCCCTCACATCAGTCTCTCTCTCTCTCTCATCCTCCCTCATTTCCACTCTTTCTAAAAATCAATGGAAAAAATATCCTTGGGTGGGGAATAACAACAACAAAAAGGAGCTATACAAGTGGTCAGTAAGTAACATGAAAAGATACTCAACATCACCAGTCAGAGACATGCGATCAAACCCACAATGAGACAGGTACCACTAGGATGGCTCTCACCAAAGAAGGAAAAAGAAAACAAGCATCAGTGAGGAGGTGGAGAAACTAGACCTCTTGCTTGCGGGGATGTGAAATGGAGCAACCGCTGTGGAAAACAGGTTGGCTGCTCCCCAGAGTTAACAGAATTACCATGTGCTCCACCAATCCCTCTTCTGAAGATACACCCCAAAGAACTGGAAGCAGGAACTCAAACAGATATTTGCACACCCATGTTCCTGGCTCACAATAGGCGAGAGGTGGAAACACCCATGTCCCTCTAGGAGGAGGAGGCCACTCACCTGTGCAGGTGCAGGTTCTGAGAACAGCTCATCCTCCGCGTCCTCCCCACCCCCCGGGCCCGCCTTGGGAGAGGACAGCTGGCCCGTGGGCTCGGAGGGCGTGACTTCCTCCAACGTGCTGGCGCAGGCCTGGACGGGCTGGGGTCCCTCGTGATCAACGCTGGTGCTGGGAAGGACGCGAGGCTCCTGGCGGAGGTGGCCGGGCCTCTCCACCTTGGCCTCCTTGTCCTTCAGAGCAGGGTCTGGCCTGTAGCAGGCCGGCAGGACCTTTTCACCTTTCTCCATGGACTTGATCTGGCTGGGAGTCAGCGACTGGAAGTCGGCCTCGGGCCCCTCCCCACGGGAGCGCTCCGCATTGATCTTCCAGAAGGCCGCTTCCTCTTCCTTCCGAGGGGGACCCAGGGCATCCAGGCTGGAGGACTTGCCACCCTGGGTGGGCCGGAGGGCCTGCGAGCCCTGAGCAGCTTTGGACGGCTGCCTGGGCTCGCTGGCGGGGCCGCCGCTCGGATCCTGGATGGATAAGGAGGAGATGCTGAACTCCATCTGACTCTACCGCCGGACACAGGGAGGAGAAAACAGAAAGCAACCCTTAGAACCGATGGGAACAGGTGTGCCCCACCCCCCGGCAGCAACAACGCTGCTCTGTTGTCCGTTTTCTGGAACTTTCTTTCTTTTTTTTTTACTTTGGAATGTAATTGGCTTTATTAAGTAACTCAGGAATCAGACAGCATCCCTCCTAGCAAGCAGAAGGGCGCTCCCTGGAACTGTCTGTCCATCCTGAGTGCTACCCTCAGGCTGCCACCGTGTACCCAAGACACAGCCCTGATGCCAAGGCCGGGCAGAGTCCCTGCTGCCAGCGGCTCGGAGGCTCCCGACTCCTCCTGCTCGGACAGCTGTCTGCCTGGCGGGCAGAGCACCCCCCAGACTCCTCAGGATTGATCCCAGGGCCTTCCTGAGGAGCTGCTGGGGGGCTGGCTGCCCTCCTGGGGTGATGAGGGAGGGTACAGCCCAACATGACACAGCACTGGGCCAGGGTCAAACCCAGATCTACAGCAGGAGCCAGCCCCCGCCCTCCGGGACTAAAGCAGGTCAGGGGCAGTCCAGGTGTGCTGCAGAGCCCGCCTCCCGCGCTTGTGCACACTCGCCTTCTACCTGTGATGGACTGAATCGTGTCTCTCACACGCACACACCAGAGCCCCAGCGCCCAGGGACGGGCAAGAAGTGGCATTTTGGGAGGTGATTAGATTTCACCGAGGTCATGAGGGTGAGCCCCCATGATAAGATGAGTCTCCTGGTAAGAAAAGACTTGAGAGGGGTGATCTTTCTCTCCACCCTGGGCGGACACAGCAAGAAGACAGCCGTCCGCAAACCCAGAAGAGGGCTCCCACCAGGACCCAACCACCCTGGCACCTGACCTCGGCCCTCCAGCCTCCAGGACTGCTAGAAGGTCTCCTGTGTGAGCCGCTCAGCTGTGGTATCTGCAAGGCAGCCCGAGCCGACCAAGGCAGCACATCATTGCAGAGGTTGCTCCCCAGAGGTTGCACTGCAGAGACATTCCCACCGGGCACTGCCCCACTGTGCACACCCTGCTCCTGGTTCTGTGAGCCAGGACACCGCTGCCCACTTGAGGTTGAAGACCCCCTGAGGGCAGGCAGGGCCTGGCACCTGGCACAGCCCACACCCATCTGGGAGCCCCAGGAATGCTTTCCGCAACCCGATGTTGCTAAACACAGGATCTCTAAAAGTGATGGTGCTGAGCTGTTCTGACCACAAAACCTTCAGATGGAAACCTCACCCTCTTCAGCTCAGAACACACTGGAGGATGTTGTCTGCACGCTCTGCACACCAGCTATCTGCGTCTCGGTCACTCCTGAAGTCAATCTCCACAGTTCCTCGCTTCCTCCTCTTCTCCTCCCCCATCCTGTAACTTTTTTCCTTTATCCTCACCCGAGGACATTTTGCATTTATCTTCAGATAGAGTGGGAGGGAGAGAGGGAGGGGGAGAGAGAGAAACATCGAGTGGTTGCCACCCACATGACCCCAACCGGGGCCGGGGACAAACTGCCACCGAGGTACGTGCCCTTAGCGGGGACCGAACCGAGACTCTCTGGTCCGCGGGCCGATGCTGTAACTGCTGAGCCAAACTGGCAGGGCTATTCTGTATTTTTTTTAAAATAAAAGCAATAGAAAGTTTGGGAATTAGGAAAAAGAAGAATCGTTGCTAACCCTCACCTCCCCGTGATCACTGCTCCCTTCGCTCGTGTGCCAGCTCCATGCACGTGCGAGGCTGCGGCTGCGGGTGCGCAGACCTCTGGGTGTTGTTTTCTCCCTTCACGTAAGCATCACCATGGTGCCACGGTCTTTACAACCAGTTTCAATGGGTGCAAGACGTTTCCCTGAGTACCTGTCCCACCTTCTACTGACCCACTTTCTTATTACTGGACAATTCGCTTCTAGTCTGCCGTTGTGGTCAAGGTCTCCCCGAACGTCTTCACGCACACAGCTCTGCCCCACGGGGAGTGAAGCTCTTCAGATAGATTTCCAGAAGTAAAATATCAAAATACAAAAGGTTTTTATAAATTGATTTTTTTTTTTTTTAGAGAGAGAGGAAGGGAGAGATAAAAACATCCATGTGAGAAACACAGATAGGCTGCCTCCTGCACGCCCCCTACTGGGGATCAAGCCCACAACCCGGCATGTGCCCTGACCAGGAATCCAATGGGGACCTCAATCCGTGGGACGATGCTCAATCCACTGAGCCACCCCAGCCGGGTGTTTTTGTTTGTCTTTTTAAACGGTTCTAGATGCAAACAAAATATGGAGCTGCCCCCATTCCTGACACCACCAGCTACATATCAGAGTAGCATTACCAGTCACTGCCCCCCTGGTCATCACTGAGTATAGTTACTAAGACGGTGTTAACTTATATACAAAACATGGCTCTTTATCACTCTAATGCATATTCCTTCCCTCAATAAATGGGTGAGTCTTTTACTTTTTTCAAACTTCTCTCTCCCAGACCTGCCCCCAGTAGGCAGGACATGTTTCAGAAAAGGATGACCCTGGCCGGTTTGGCTCAGCAGCTGGAGCACCGGCCTGCGGACCACAGAGTCCCAGGTTCGGTTCCTGCTAGGGACACATATCAAAAAAAAAAAAAAAAAGGAAAAGAAAAGGTTGAAAGCAATGCTTTTCCTGTAGAAGCTTCAGGCCCTGAACCCAGACAGCCACATACGCTCAGTCTGAGACTTGCAAACGCCCAGAATCGATGGCCAGCGGTCTTCCTTCCCTAACGGCCCAGAAGAGAGATGATGAGGCCATGAAGAACTCAAGTTCAATCCCAAGCACAGGCTGCCTTAAAGCTCAATGTTATAAGAAAAAAAACCCAGGAAAGAAGCACCAGGGCACCGCTCAGCGGGTGCTGGGTCCAGAGAAAAGCAGGTTACTGAGCATCTCCATGAGGTTGGCACATTTTGTTGTCAGTGGTTGTTTTTAAAAGTTTCCTTCTACAAATGAGCAAATGGGGGTTTTGAGCAAGTCCATGAGGAGTCCTGCAGCTGAGATTTCAACCTGGATCAAAGAAGCCCAAGGCCTGAAGCCCTGCTGGGCACCCCGGCCCGGATCAAAAGCCAGGGGCCACCAGGAACGACGGCCACGTGAACAGCACACAGCCTGTACGTGGCCGGATTTCTATGTAAGTATGTCAAGGATCTAATCTGATTTCCAAAGGTCTGTTTTGAGTAAACCATTTGCACCCGGAACATTTCCAAATTCCACAACAGAGTAGATACTGTGGCACAGAGATGATGGTTTCTTTAAATAAGCAAATGGCTAAAAAAAGAGACATAAGAACAGCTCAGAAGTGGAGACCAAGCCTCAGAGAACAGAGCTGACTTAGATCTGGAAATTGCAGTGTGAGGAAGGCACTTGGTCAAGCCCTGGGCTCTCCAGGGTCAGCACTTTCTCCAGCGAGGCTGAGCATCCGCCTACGTGGAGGGCAGCGGTGGGCGGAGCCAGGGACGGGGGACGGAGAGGCGGTCACATGGTCCCACGCTGCTTCGAGCTCGGTTGAAAGGGCACTCGAGCAACACTTACGGGATGTGACATTCTTGAACAGCACAGAGGCTGTGACCACGGCTCCTCGGGCAAACGGAGACCATGTCACAACTCCTCAAAGGAGGGTGTCACCTGGATAGAAGAGCGGGCTGTGCCAACAGAAGTGGCAATCTGGTTTGGGTGCTTTGGGGTGAAAATGAGGGAAACAAGAACTTACAGACGAAAAACATCTCAGCACATCTGACTCGAAGTCTTTTCCCCTAGGCACACGTTGTTTGTATTTTGCAAATAAGATATGACTACAACCTCCTTTAAAAAACAGTCCTCCTGCCCGGCAGGTGTGGCTTGGTGGCTGAGCATCGACCCTGCACCAGGAGGTCGCTGGTTCGATTCCTGGTCAGGGCACATGCCCAGGTTGTGGGCTGATCCCCAGTGGGGGGCATGCAGGAGGCAGCCAATCGATGTTCTCTCTCATCAACGTTTCTATCCCTTTCTCCCTCTCCCTTCCTCTCTCTCTAAAATCAATAAAGAGAAAAAATAGCCCTGGCTGCTTTGGCTCAGCGGTTAAAGCATCGGCCTGCGGTCCTGAGAGACCCGGGTTCGGTTCCCGCTAAGGGCACGTACCTCGGTTGCAGTTTGTCCCCGGCTCTGGTCAGTCGTGCGGGTGGCAGCCACTCGATGTGTCCCTTTCACATCAATGTTTCTCTCTCTCTCTCTGTTCCTCTCTCTCCCTCCCACTCTACCGGAACAAAAAATGGAAAAATGTCCTCGGGTGAGGATAAAAACATAAAATAAAATAACAGTTCGCCTTGATCAACTGTGCTGGTGCTCAGGCCCCTCCCCACTGCTCACCCCAGACGAAAGGGTTTGTATTTGCATTTATTTCATTATTATTATTATTATTATGCATTTGTCTTCAGATAGAGCGGGAGGGAGAGAGGGAGGGTGAGAGAGAGAAATGCCGATGCAAGAGAGACACATCGAGTGGCTGCCACCCACACAACCCCAACCAGGGCCGGGGACAAACTGCAACCGAAGTACGTGCCTTTAGTGGGAACCGAATCCAGGTCTCTCTGGACCGCAGGCCAAGGCTCTAACCGCTGAGCCAAACCGGCCAGGGCTGTATTTGCATTTAAAGCACGCACCGCGGGGAAGGGGCCAGGAGGAAGGGAGAGGAGCCAAGGGTCTTTCCTCCTGTCTCGTCTCATCTTCCTGGGCCCCAGGCCTCCAGCGCACGCGGACTGGAGTGGGCCGGGGGAACAGCCCATGCGGCCCCCACTGCGGCCGGGGTCTCATTCCGTCAAGGTGACTGCACAGCGAAGGGCAAGGCAAACGCACCTGCGACCACGCGCTGCCACCCCGTGGGTCAGGGGAGGCTTCTACTGCGACAGCCTCTGCGTTCAGTGCAGTCCGACGGCTTCTCACTCGGTGCCTCACCCCGCCAGGCCTTCCCCTCGCCGGCCCCTCGCCGGCCCCTCTCCCCCGGACCAGGGCTT